TGCTGAAGTGGCATGATTAATCCTCTTTCCTGTCTCATATGTTTGCCCAGTTTATGATGGAGATCACTTCCTTAGCTATCTGGAAAAGAGTTCTTACAGTCTAATATAACATGTTCATAGAAACCTCACTTTAGGGTAAGAAGGGGTGAAAAAAAAAGTTTTGTAAAACAAAAGTTTTGTTGGAAGCATATTAGAAAAAAATTAAATAATTGTATAGTATCTCCTTATTTCTCTGGAGGCATTTCACAGAAATAGGTTGGAATCTGGAGTTCTGTAAGTGATGTAAGTTAATACTAGTGTTCTGTTTAGTGTTAGACAAACAAAAGAAAAGGGTTGATAGGAAAATTTTAAACTAGATTAAAAAATGTAGAAAATTATAATGTTGTTCACCATTCTGAAGTATTCTGTATGGCACAGAATTCATGCTTGAATAAAGTTAAAAGGAAAATGAAAATTGTCTTTGTTTTCCATAGATTTGAATTAGCATTCAGGAGTTAAGTCTTGTTAATTTTCCTTTCCTAATGAATAATGCCATTTGATTGTTAAATGAGATAACTGAAAAAAAAAGTAGAAAACAGTGTTGTAATAGCATATAAATAATTATATAGGTACTATTGTTACATCATTTTAGTGTAGCATTATTTGCTTTCCTAAACTCTTACTGTACATGTTTGTTAGTCAATGGAAAGGAAAACTCAACAGTTAGCCCAATGGTTTTGTTGTTTGATACAAGTCTTAAATATAGTTTGTCAGTCAATCCAATTTATTAGTCTCTGTGGTTTCAGCTGAATCTAAGGAGAACACCACATTGGGAGTCTAATGAAGGAGTAAATGCTTCATTTTTGAAAGAAAAATAATTACGTATATATAATATGCATTTTTCTGGAACTTTCGAAACAAAAATTATTACTTCCTTTAAAATGTGTCTGTGGTCTCGGAAGAAATAACTCCTTTCTGTTGGTTCACTTAGTTTTCTTTTTTTCCCTCCCAAAGTTGTTAGCTTCATTGACATTTGTGATTAATTGGGTTTTAAAGATGTTCACATTTAAAGCTGATCCTTCATTTCAGCTTCTGTAGCCAAACACAGCTTACAATTCTTTTCACCTGTTTTTCTTTCAAATAGCTACAAGTAAGGAAGAAGTTAACAAGTTCACAGGAATGTTCATCATACTTCTCCATAGTCCATGAGTTTATAATTGATCATTTTTGATGTAGCTGAAGTCTTAATTTGATTTAAAAATCTGTGTAGCTACAGGGGATATATGATAAAGTGTATGCCAGAGGAATTTTTTTACATATCTTTAAAGAAGTTCCCCACTTGTGCTTCAGTTGACATTTTCTGTAATAAAAGCACAAGAAAGATACTAAGAAATAAATTATCTTCCTAATGAAGAATTATATGCTGAAGTAGTACAATAATTGTGTCAGTAATTTGATGTGGTGGCAGTGTCTAGAGCTATACTGGTAGTAATTGATGGAAACAAAAAATAGATTTTGTTTATTTATAGCTTTTACAAAGAAGTAACAAATCTAGAATGAAAATATTTTTGAACTGCTTCTGTCTTGAGCTTGTTAAGTTATGCTAGCTGTTCTTCCATATGCAATTTAAGTATTTTCCACACAGCTGATTTTTTTTCCCCTTGTATTTTTGTCTTGGTATGTTTACACATATGCAAATAATTTTTAAATGACATTTTTATTAAAGTGTATTTTCTGAATAATGTAAATTCTTGCTTTCTGGAGCTATGGAGGATAGATGCATTTTAGCTGCCTTGTAGTGAGGGAAGCCAGAGAAAGAAAGTAAACACACACACACATACACACATGTATGTGCCAAAATCATGTCAAGTGCTGAGGGGATGTAAGAGAGAACCCCGAATAACCTTTTTGCAGCATTGCCTTTCTGTGGCTAGCTATCTCCAGTAGAAACAGAGAATAAACATATCTTGTGACAAATGAATTGAAGCTTGGATGCAGTGAAACTGAAGAAAGAGCTATTTGAAAAGAGTACAACTTCAGAGAAAACTAACTCTATGCAAGCTAAACCTATGTAAGGGCATAGGAAATAAGAAATGTCTTGTGTAATCTTTAGACTTCTTTTCTACACATACAATATGCTAGCCTTGCTAAATGTTGCATGTTATTTAGAATAAATTCCTTTGAAGGAATATTGTTTGTTTAAAAAAAGAACCATTTAGGCTACTGCTTTAACAGATCTTAGTATTTCCATTAATTTCTTATGGGCTTCCCATGTTTGAGAATTGATGTGTTCTGGTTTGGTTTGGTAGGTTTTTTGGTAGCGGGGGAGTGGCCCCAGGAATGGCTCATGTAAGAAGCTGAGAAGCTCCCCCTGTTCCAAACCCAGCCAAGGAGCCAGTAGAGGGACAATAGATTCACCTCTGCCATTAACATAAGAGAAAGAACGGAGACAGAACCTGAGCAGAGGAGCACAAAAAAGAGAGAAGAGCTGTGCTGGAGGAAGAGAGTGGTGCTGGTGATTGGTGAGGAAGAAGGGGCAGAAGGTGCCCAAGCAGAAGTTTCCCTGCAGCCCATGGCGAGATGGCAGCTGTGCTCCTGCACTTGTGGAGGAATGTGGTGGAACATTCCCTGAAGGCATCAGGAGGGGTGAACTTGATGAGTGGACTTGGATGTCGTGGCCAGAGGATTTGCTGCCTGTGGACTCTGATTGCACAAGTTTGGAAGACCGCAGTGCTACGGGAGTTTGTTCCTGAAACAGCCCATGGTTCTGTGGGAAGCCCAGGCTGGAGCAGCTCCGGACCTTGTGGGAAGAACTCAGGAAGGAGAGGTTCATGGAAGACTCTCTGCCATGGGAGGGACCCCGTGGGGAAACAGGGCAGGACTGTAAGGAATCCTTCTTCCTGAGGAGGATGGTGTGACAAGAACCACCAGCCTGTAAAGTGACTCTAAACCCCATCCCCTGTCCCCCTGTGCCGCTGGGGGGAAGGAGGGAGAGAAACCAGGAACCAAGGGATTGGGGCCTGGGAAGAAGGGAGGGGTGGGGTAACATCTGCAATCCCTGCTCTAGGTGTGTCTGTGTCCTGGGGGTGTGTGATTAGTGTGAAAATAAATTACTATTTTTTCCCCAAGTTGAGTCTGTTTTTCCTGGGACCTTAATCAGTGAAGATCCCTCCTTGTCCTTTGTCTCAACCCATGAGCTTTGTCCTCCCCATCCCACGGTGGGTGTGGGGGGGGAAGTTGAGTAAGCGGCTATGTGGCTGGTTCTTTGTTGTGGTGTTGGGCCCAAACCACGACATTAATGGTGAGTCAGGCAGGAGAGATACAAGGAACCACGACAAAACATAATCTGTATCTGGAATTAAAAGTTAGTTTTGATCTAGCATCATATTTCTATGAGAGGACAGAGTAGGATGATTTGGCACTTGCTTATTATTATTATAACCATTGAAGTGGGCATAGTAAGGCTTTTAAATGAATGCTACATTGACATTGGAGGAGGAAAAATACTGTTATTTTTGTCCAGCTGTATTCTCACATCATAAAAGTACATGTGTTTATGGTTTAAAGACTCTTCAAACACAAGCATGTAGTTGAAAATGTCAGTTATTAATTGGTTGATTAGATTCTGGATAATAGAGAAGAAATCTGCAGAGGACCATATCTACAGGTCGTATTTCCAGATAAATGGGGTAGTTAATGCACCTATTAACTAGTCTACAAGCTTTTTTATCTGTAGTTATTATAACTTCTCAAATTTGAGCATATGACTGTTCTTGGGAAAAATATATTGCAGGTAAGATTGTTTATAAAATTGTCAAAATTAAACAGTCTGGATCACATGAAAAATGCTAATCAGAGTTTCTGTGGCTGAAAAGGAAAGAATTACATGGACATGATTAGTAGGACTGTTTTGAGGAGGCAGAAGCCAGACATAAGTGTAACAGTGAATCAAGGGGAAGGGAATAAGATTACTTTTGTATAGCCAGGCATGCAAAGTAGGATAAGAATCATGCAGTTGGAAGATGAAAACAAAGAATTGTTCTTAAACTTGTTCAAAGAGCCAAAAGTCAAATGGAGGCCTATCTACCTGAAGCTAATACCTTTTGTCCAGCACAGTTTGGATTCATGCCAAGATACAGAGATCAGATGATTTCACAGATATGGAGGGATTTTTTCTTTTTGAATTGGTAAAGACCAGATGTCCACTCTTCTTCTCCATTAGACTCTGCTAATTGTTTTGTCTGGGAGAGGTGTCCAGCGTTTACCATGCTGCAGTGATGGAGCACTGAAACCTCTGCAAAAGAAAATCAGACTTGCACTGGAGAATGAACTATGCTTCCATCTTACACAGACTGCTGTGTTTGCACTTTTTGCTGCATGAACCTTCCTTAGAACATTGGATCAGATTGAAGTGTCTACCCATTAGGCTTGAGGTCTTAAATACTCTGGGTTCACAGCATCAATATGTAAATCTCTAGTGTTAACAACTGTGATTGACAGCTCACCTCCTCTGTCCAGTGTTATGTGCTATAGTAATTGCAAAAGAGAGAAACTGAGTTCTCTTAGGGGCTGGTTTAAGCCAGCTGGATAACTGCTTTAGAAATTAAAACTACACCATATAGTGAGAAGAGTATATTTCTTTCACTTTTATTTCTTTTTTTCCAGGAGCATAACTATATATAAAAAAAATATTGCCCTGTGTGCATTTGCATAATGTTGTGGACATTGCTTAATGAGCTTCTAGTGGGTTTACTTTGGAAGTTATTTGGAGCCCATTTTTGGTGTGTTTTGAGAAAACCATTATTTGGCAGGAGAACAAGTATGTACCTTGAGGAATGTTTCTTGATTTTTTTTGTGAAGGAATATTTCAGATTTAGAAAGAATTTTATTTTAAACTAACTGATTGAAATAGATTGTTATATTCAGCAAGATAAGATTGTTGAAATACTGCTAAATATATTGTAAGTAGGTATATATCTATATATATATAAAAAAATAAAATGTATGTATTTGTCTTGCAGGGGTTGATAAGCTGATCCGTCATTTACACAAACACAACATACCTATAGCTGTTGCCACCAGCTCAGCTGAAGTGACATTTCACATGAAAACAGCCAGACACAAAGACTTCTTTGGTCTTTTTAATCATATTGTGTTGGGAGATGACCCTGAGGTGAAGCGTGGCAAGCCACAGCCTGATGCATTTCTAGTTTGTGCAGCCAGATTTCACCCTCCTGCCCCTCCAGAGAAGGTAAGAAAAAATTAAATGAAAAGTTAGGAATATTCTCTTTGGGCTATATTTAGATTATCTTTTTAACATAATAAATTCATAGATTTCAGCAACCTCTGTTTTCAATGGTGTTTATGCTGTTGAAGCAAGAGATTGCTTTTCTTTGTAATGCAGATTTCTCTGATTTACCACATGGTAGTGTGCAGTAATAGGGAAGTGTCATGATTTTCTGCTCTATACATAAGTCTACAAGCTTAACTTCACTAGTCAAAGTTTGGAAACAGTTCTTTAAACATAGATCAATTTATTTTTCATACATTCGTGGCTGATTTACCTCTTAAGTCTCTAAACATTAAAGATGCTTCTTTGTAAAAAGGGCATATATTTTTCTTAAGCCATATTTTCCCTCTTGCCTTCTGGATCTCTAAGATCATAATTCTTGTTTTCTACTTTAACACCAATCTTTGAGCAATTTTTCTCAAATAGTAGAAGTATTTCGTTTCTCTATCTTATATATACTTGATTCTGAAATAGAAATCTGCAGGGAGAATATTTGAGAGATAAATTGAGAGTTAGTTAAAATAATGTCTTCACTTTTATTTTAAATTAAATTGCCTTTCTTAAAATATTTTCTTCAGGTTTTGTCTATCCCGAATGGAACATAAGTTCTGAATATTTTGAGAAAAATACGTTACATGCTATTATATACTAAAGAAGTAAAATGTTCTTTAACATGAGGGTGGTGGATCACTGGAAGGCGTTGTCTAGAGAGGTGTTGGAGGCCCCATCCCTGAAGACATTGAAGGCCAGGCTTGATGGGGCCCTGAGCAGTCTGTTCTAGTTGGGGATGTCCCTGATTATTGCAAGGGGATTGGACTATATGACCTTTAGAGGTGATTAATTGAAGACCCAGGTTATCCCTGGCTTGCAGTTGCCTGTGGCATTTGCCACATTGTTGACACATCATAGGGCTTGCTGTTATAGTAAAACTGGTTCAGTGGGTTGCTGAGACATCTCTTTATTCCAGCGATAAATCCTGTTTATCTCCTAGATGTCTCAAGACAAACAGCAGGCACCCTGCGTGTCTGAATATACTGTTTGTCTCTTGGGTTGTTTTAAACAAGCACCATACATCCTGAGTGTCACACCTTCCAACCCAGGACATTTTGTGATTCTATTTTTTATGGAACAACTCTAGGTGGACTGTTATTACTGTTTTCTCAGTAGGATTATTGAGGGAAAAAGCTTATAAGAATACATATGGAATGATTAGTGAAGATTCTTCAGCCTTTCATAGTTCAGGTTTTCACCCAGAGTCTAAATGCTCTCTGTGTTACATTGGAGTAAAAACTGGAATAAGTTTGCTGCAATGTGGGATACTATGAACTGTGTTAACCAAACTGATTTTGATTTTTTTGTAGTGTTTTTCCTAGTGCAAGTTCTATTTTCATTGTGTTTATTTGCATCAACTTTATTTGGAAACTTGGACATTCAGAAAAGATAACAACAAATGTACATCATCATGTTCATACAGATGGTATTTGTATGGACATGTTAGGTCCTTCTGCGAGTCGGCCTTGTGCATATGGTATGTTCCAAATGTTGAAGAATCTGATGAACAAGGCTGTAAATCTCACCTTGGAGTCAAGTACTTACAAATTTTGAACATGTTAATACTCGG